TAAGTTTTCAATCATTAGGACAATTTGTGCGGCTATATCAACCCTCCAGCCACTAATCGGCCAAACCCTGGAAACTGCAGCTGTTCTCTTTTCAAACACCCCTTGACTGAGCCACACGCTGGCAGGGGTCCCCATCTAGTGGCAAATCACAGGAGCTACCAGATTTTAGCTCCAAGGCTTACTCTTTTATCACTCGGTTTGACCTCCTTTGTACCTGGTGCTAAGGATCATTTAGGACAAGGTCCACAGCTGTCCTTTAGGCCTATGAACTAAGAATGGTTTGTGCCCTCTTTAATGGTCAAAGGAGAGGGGAATTAAAGGATAATACATTGTAACACATGAAAATTACATAAAATTCAAATTTCAGTAACTATAAATAAAATTTTATTAGAAAAGAATCATACTCATTTGTTCACATCTTTTATTTTCTTTCTTTTTGTTGTTGTTATTTTTTGAGACAGAGTCTCACTATGCAGCCCAGGCTGATCTTACTATGTAGCCCAGGCTGACCTTGAATTCACAATCCTCCTGCCTCAGCCTACCAACTGCTGGGATTACAGGCATGCACCACCACACCCTGCTACTTGTTTACATATTTTCTGTGCCTATTTTCACACTACAAAAATGGCAGAGTTGAATATTTTCCCTAGAGACCATGTGGTCCACAAACCCACAAATATTTACTATCTGGTCTTTTATAGAAAAACGTCTGCCAACTTTTGCTTAGACCAGAAATAGCAGAATGCTTGGCAATGTTAAATGGGCCAGGGAGCTCACTACCCCGGAGCACACTGGCTGGTCCATTCATTCATTTCATAAGTACTATGAGAGGCACAATCAAAGAGAAAGTTCTTGTACACACCTAGCATCCACATTCCAGGATGAGATGTTCCTTTAATACTCCATTATGTCCTGCATAATTACATCACTGAAAAAACTTCACATCCTCTCTTGTCCTTTTTCTTATTAAAACAGCATGAAGCTGGTGATATAGCTCAGTGGTAGAGTACTTAACTAGCATGCATGAGGCCCAAGGTTTGGTCCCTGGCATCACAAGAAAAACTAAGAAGAAAATAGCAGCCCTGCATGGTAGTGCATGCCTGTAATACCAGCAATTGGGAGGCTGAGACAGGAGGATTGCCATGAGTTCAAGACCAGCCTGAACTACATAGTGAGACCCTGTCTCAAAAAAAGAAAAAAAAATAGCATGCTTGTTTCTCTCTTTATCCCTCTAGCTCTAAGAAATTCTTAGCTGCAAGCTGCTTACTTTAAGGAATTCCTAAATTCATTTATTCTACACCCACCTATCAGTACATGTATCACACCATGATCAGGACCCAATATACAAAGATGCATAAAAAATGGAGAATGCGTCTTCAAGACATTGGCCATTTAGGGGAACTGGGAGGAGAATAAGAGGGTAGTTTAAAGAGAGACAGGAGGCAAAGAGGAAATCTTGCCAGTGCAGCCTGGGGAATCAAGACAGACTTCAGAAAACGTGGTAAAGGAAGACAAGGAAGGAGGAGGAAAGTTGGAACCAGAGGAGCGCATCTCAGGCCCATCTCAGCAGCATGGGCAGAGATGTAGAGGTCAAGATGTAGACAGAGGTCTACATGGGCCAGGTATGATGGGAGCTACAGTACCTCACATAGTAGACTTCTTTATTCTATTCTGGCACCAGACAATCGCTTTTTCTGTCCTGCTGTTCCATATACATTTGAAAGCCATTCTAACAGCAACAACTGTTTGAATGATTGAAATTGTTCTTTCCTTACATTGCCCCATTTTCACAGCACCTTCCCCTCTTCCTGGGAACTGGGGATTGAACTCAGGGCCTTTGCACTGAGCTCTAGCTCAGCCCTTTAAAAAAATTCATTTGTTTTGTTGATTTATTTATTTTAAGACAGGCTCTCACTAGGTCACTAAATTGTCCAGGCTGTGCTCAAAATTCTGATCCTCCAGCCTCACCCTCCAATTGCGCTGGAATTACAGGAATGCGCCACCACGCCCAGCTTCACAGCACCTCTTGAAGGGAGTACTATCATGGTTTTAAAGATGAATGTTATCATTATGTATATATAAAATGTACCAATAAGTGTTTTGCTTCCAAAACATAAAGATGAATGGAGGTTGAGAAAAATAAGAAATATGCTTAAGGCCTCCTACTTTAGCAACATCTAGGTAGAACCCTGGAAGAACTTTTATTCACGTCCACAAAGAGACAGCAGAAGAACATTAAAGCAACACTGTAGTAGTAAAACTGAGAAACGAGCTCAATTTCTATGAAGAATATCTAGGAGAATGGATAACTCATAGTGTATTCATACAATGGAATATTATTGAACTGGGAAAGTGGATAAATTAGAAACCCACATATCAGCGTGCATTAATATAAGAAAATGGCATCACTATTAAAAATAGTGAGTAAAAAAATACAAATTACAAATCAGGTATGGTAGTACATGCCTATAATCCCAGTACTGAGGGAGACTGATCTCAAGTTCAAGCCCAGCCTGGGGAACTTAGCCACTTGGCAAGATCCTGTCTCCAAATTAAAAAAAAAAAAAGTTCAGGATGGGTAGCTCAGTGCAAAGTCCTTCAATGCAATCCACAGTACCTCGTGCATGCGCACACACACACATGGAATGAACAGTACATATAAGTATTCCTCATTTAACAACCAAGTTATATCCCTGCAACTAGATCATTAGTTGGATTAGTTGCTAAATGAAGAATTGTATATACTATGTACATTACAATATTCAGAACAAAGAAACGGTCAAAGGAAACTCCAGCTTGATGATTTTGCTTTCATTTGTGTAACTCTTACATGCAGTACTATAATGTATAACAGAATGTAAAACTACAGTACTGTACTGTACAGTACAATCAGCAAAAATTACAGTACTGTACAAAGAAGGTATGCCACACCAAAAAAAGACATTGAAGCTCTATAACCAACAACAAAAAGACAGGTAGTAAGTCCAAACGGCACACCTCAATTGTTAAGTTTGAAGAGCAGTTAACAAGGTAAATCGTTAAATGAGGCATGTCTGTGTAATAACAGTTACACAAAGCTTTCAGTCATGCAAAGCAATATGTGGGACTGCATAACCTTTGTTCCTTTTCTCCAGCCCCACTGTGATTAAATGTGAGTTAATGGATAAAAATGCTTGTTAGTTTTGGGACACTAGATAAAATCTGTAACAGACCTAAAGTCCCAAAGTAAACTACTCAACTCCTTGTTTGCCCGGAACTGATGTTCCGGACACCACAATCTATAGAACAAGCTGCAAATGTCTGCTGACCATCAATACATGACAGTCGACCACTAACCTTTGTCCCTTTTCTTCAATTCTATATGTTAACTTCCCCCTCAACCCCCTATAAAAACAGCCTCGGACTCTGAGCCAGTTGCCTCTCTAAGCTATTTTGCTTTGGGAGTGCCATCTGGCCAGACTAATAAAGGTCTGTTTTACTTTCCAACTTGTCCGGTGTGTTCCTTCCCGGGTGTTCTTCGCTGCAGTCAGCTCCTCGGAGCATTTGGTAAGGCCAGTGGTCTTACAATATACATGTTACCTTAGGGTACATATGAAGTAAAAGTCTGAAGAAATACATGGGAATGAGAGATGCTCAATTCAGGACAGTATCACTTCTGAGGAAAAAAGAGATGGAAGAGGAAGCAGATAGAGTTAAATTGAATACTTGCAGTCCCCATGGTATCTACAGGAATCAGTATAGGTTTAATATTGCTGACTCATAACGTGCAAGTAGAGTGGGGAGGTAAAGGCAGTGAGATGATGAGATGGAGGAGGTGGGCTATGGTACACACACACCTGTAATCCTTGCTGAGACAGGCGAGGTGCAGATCAGCCTGGGCTATACAGTGAGTTCAAGGCCAGCCCAAACTACATAGCAAGACCCTGTCTTTAAAAACCAAAAAGAGAAGCAAGGGGCACCCAGGAGGTGCGAAAAGCTAGTAGGACTTAGTTTCACGTTTTGCAATAGACAATGGGCAGCCAATAACAACTTCAGATAGAACCCTTGGTAGCAACAGGGAGAGCAGATTGGAGCAGCTGCCATCAGAGGAAGGGAGATGTTAGCATGTTGCAAGTTAGAGATGCTGAGGAGAACCTGAAATAAAGCAATACCAATGACAAGAAGAAGCTTGCACCAAGAAACAAACCTATCAACAATAAACAGGTGGAATATTGTACAGCAGTGAACTGAAAAAATTACAGCTATTCCCAATAGCTTAGATGAATCTCAATGTTAAGTGAGACATTCAAGTCCCAGGATGCTGTAGAGAAAAATATAAATCTTATGAAGTTTAAAGACAATCTAAACACTTTTGCTATACATAAGTAAATATATGTGTTTATATGCATACATATGTTTGAGACAAATGGAAAAAGGAAATGAATGCAACAAGGGTACCGATTTCTTTGGGACACGGGATGAGGTGAGATATATGTGTACACTGTATACCTATTTATGTGTTACACACGTATTCGCTCACCTGAAAAGTCATTTTTGGACCAATGTTACCAATGTTTCATGACCAAGGAGTATGCTTTATCTACTTTGTGTACTAAAAGCCCTAACAAGGGAAAAAAGGATAAGGAAGGAGATTATGTATTTTTGAGATATTGTGCAGGGAATCTGTAGACTTTTCATTCTCACCAGGTTTTAGATTCACTCCCCTCGAGACTGCGGTCCCACGTGCTCTTCACTCCCTCCAATGGGAAGATTGAGTGACAGGAGGACCTAACTCCGGAGCTGGAGCCTAGTTAGAGGAGCCCGGAAATGGCGGGCGGAGGGGGCTGAGCGAGCAGGAAGGCGGGGCTAAAGGGGCTGTCCGGCACAAGGTCCCTACTGCGCTTGCGCAGTAGAACGCTTCGCCGCCATGGCGCCAGCGCCGTCCAGTCAGCCGTGGTTGGTGGCGGCGACTTCCCCTCTGGAAGCCGGGTCTCCGCCTCCTCCTCCCACCGCCCCCCCTGCTCGGCGGCGGAGGCGGCGGCGGCGGCAGCTGTTGTTCCTGCCTCTCCGCCACCTCCACCGCCGCCTGTCCTTCGGCCGGCGGCGTTGGCGGGGAGGGGGACAGTAGTTGTAGATCCCGCCCTTGCCTCAGCGAAGGTGAGTTCCCGCCTGGCGGCGGGGGCGGCCCGTTCTCCAGCGCCCGACTCCCCGGCCCGCGCAGGCCCCGCGCGTCCGCCGCCCCGCCCCGCGTGTGTGCCATGGCTGCCCGGGGCGCGGCCGGCGTCTCCGGTCTCCGGAGCGCGGCGTCTGGCTCTCCGCGGAGGACAAGGGGACGCCTCGGACAGGAGAGAGGCGGCCAGGCAGGGTCTGCGCCCCTGGGGCATCAGGGAAGGGAGAGGGAGGCCGGTGAACAAACCCCGAAAATTGAAGGGTCAGAGATAGGAGAGAAAAGCCCAGACCGTGGAAGTGAAATTCAGCATCCTGGAGAGTAGCGAATTCACGGTAGGATGTTTAGAAATGGAGTTTGGAATGGGTAAGGCTGTTCTAGGAAGTAGCTTGGGAGCTTTAAAGTTGCAGAGGTCTTCCCAGGAAGAAGGGGTGAGCTTTAGGGGGTCACTTTAGAGTTTTCCTAGCGCCCCCTTCTACTGCGGATTGAACCCAGGGCCTTTGCAATGAGCTACATCTTCAGCCCTTTTCCTTTTTCTTTTCTTTCTTTTTTTTTTTTTTTTTAATTTTGAGACAGTCTTGCTAAGTTGTTCTGGCAGGGCTCCAACTTGGTGATCCTCCTGTCTCAGCCTCCCAGAGTTTTGGGATTACAGGGGTGCACCTTCCCTAGATTTTTTTGAGGATATGACACTATAAATTACTAAGATGACAAATCCATCTTAATAGTGGTCTGAGTTTTAATGTGTATCTACCAGGAATAGAGCTTAGAGGTGGACATTAGAACAGTGAAAGCAATTTATTTCTTCATTACAGACAGTAGGGAGAAAAGTTGAGTTTTATTCAGATTTGCTCAGAGTTAACTGGGCCTTTGAAGAGGGAATGCTTAAGAAGGGGTAAGGGAGGGCGGAGTGAGTCAGGGTGGTGAATAATCACCAAGGTTTAGTCATTGTAAAGGCAAGTAGGCCAGCTGTCTGATGGCTGGGAATTATCAGGTTAAGCTGCTACCTTCCCACACAGACTGGGAGACAGACGTACCCTTCCTTGAGAAAGACATTCCTGAGTTAAGGGTCATTCCTGGGCATCTCAGGACATAGGAAAGAGGCCTGGGCTCTACCTCAGTGGTAGAGCGCTCCCAGCTCATGCAAGACCCTGGGTTCTGTGCCCAGCACCAAAAACAACAAAAAGATGTAGGAAAAATTTACAGTAGTAAACCCTTTTTAGTAAATGCTTTTTAAAACAGGTGGCTCTGGACATGAAGGTCAGTGGTAGACTTCTCTTGCTTACCATTCATGATATTCAGTACTCAGCACAAGAAACAGGTGAGGCCATGTAGCCATATGTGATGGCACACACCTGTAATCTCACCACTTGGGAGGCTGAAGCGAGAGGATCAGGGCAAGTTCCAGGCCAGCGTAAACTACATAGCAAGACCCTGTCTGAGAAAAAGAAAACAGATGAGGTAAGGGGCCTGTCATCAGGTGTTGGCTAGAACAAACAATAAATTCTTCTTACTGCCCTGAGCTTTTCCAAAACAATTCAAAGTGGGAGGGTAGTTGCTAAATTATCCCAGAGACCTGGCCATAGACTGTCAGAGGTCGTGTTCAATTGTGGTTAAGTCTCCTTGAACAGAGTCTTGGAGTTTTTACAGTTTTCACCAACACATTTCCCATAACACAAAAAGCTCTTTCTTTACCATCCCAAGCTAAGACGTTTGAGTTCTTAGAAGTACTGTGTACCTGCAAACAGCCTGGCTGTTGGGAACTGTGAGATAAGGCCTTAAAGCAGTTTTGGAGATGATTTTAGATTATGGCACTTGATTTCCCCTTAGATATCTGTAATACATTCAGACATACTTAATTTTTAGTATTTGCTTTCTTGCTTTCTGGTTTTTTTTGTTTTTATTTATAAAGGCTGATGGCCAAAATATTACAGACTAATTTAGATCCCTTTTCCTAGGAGAGGCACTCATAAATGTAATAACCTTATAAAAAATAATTTCTTCTGTCTTCTGCCTCGCAAGCAAAAGGATCCAAATTCAATCCCCAGTACCAAAATAATAATAATAATTTCTTGCTCGTGTGGTGGCAGACACCTACAATCTTAAGTACTCTGGGAGGCTGAGGCAGGAGGTTCACAAGTTCCAGCCCAGCCTGGGCAACTTAGCAAGACCCTCTCGAAAAATAAAACAGGGCTGGCTAGGGGTGTAGTTCTGTGCAAAGGCCCTGGGTTCAGTCCCCAGTACTGCAAAACAAATATAATAAAGTTCGTTAGAAATTGATTACAACCAAATGAGTGTCTTCAGGTAGCCTAGAGGATAAGTATCATTCATTGTTCTGAGATAAAAAATAAAATCTTTTCTTCTTTTGCTTTTATACTAAATTTCCTGCTTGTCACCAAGTATGCCTTAGCAGCTTATAGGTATCAAGACTACAATTCGATATGGTTCCCATGGCCATATCACAGGAAGATTTGAAAACAGCTCTTCATAGGAAAACAGCTTTTGCCAGACTTGATATTTGGAGGTTTTTTGCAATGACTTTGAATATGGGCAGACTTTTAAAGATGGCAGTTCATATAGTGCTGGCAGTAACTTTTATACAACTTCAAGGTAGTAAAATGAGAATAGTAGACTCAAAAATTTGACTAATGCTAGGTTCTGGTGTTCATTTCTCCACCCTGAGTATGTCCCACACTTCCCACACTTCCTGGACTTCAGTTTTTCATCCATTGGGTGGATTATTGGGACTAGTCCAGTGGTTCTCAGTTAAGGGTGTTCTCACCCAGACCACACCAGAGGCATTGTCTGGAGACATTTTCCCTTGTCACCAAGTAGGGAGGTGCTACAGGCATCTATTTGGTGTAGGCCAGAGATGTTGCGAACATCCTAGAATTTATGGGACAACCACACACAAACACAAGTAGAATTATCCTACCCAAGATGTCAGTAGTGTTCAAGGTTGAGGAATCCAGCACTAACTCCTTATAGCTTTAAAACAGCTGCTTTAGCCATCCTGTGTTGGTATTCTCCCCCAGTCTGGCTTTATTCTAGAACTATAATTCCTGAAACACGAAACTGCCCTTTAGTGGCTATCAGGTAACATTCAAAGAGTAATGAAATCTCTACCAAGTTATGGTTGAAATTATTTACCAAATTATAATAGTTAACTAAAGAATTACCTTTTGTCACTGTATTTCAAGTAAATATCCATTAGCAGTTCAGGTAACTATGACTTGCAAATGCCAAATATTTGGTATATTACACTATTTAAAACACTTAAGACTTAGCTTTTTCTTTTTTTTTTTAGGTAATTATAAAAGACAAATAGCTGGGCATGGTAACACATTTCCCGAATCCCCACTACTCAGGAGGCTAAAATGGGATGATCACAAGTTTGAGGCCATCCTGGGCTACAAGAAGGAAAAATATAGTTTGATACTTAACCAGTATCAGTATTTTTTTTTTAAAGCTCTTGCTGGAAGATTCCTCCAGAAGTTACCAAAGGATTATTGTCAGATATGTCACAATTCTCACTTTCAGAATCTCGATAGAAACTCAGCATGAATGCATACACTTGTGACCCTAGTACTCAGGAGGCTGAACCAGGAAGATGATGAGTTTGAGGCCAGCCTGGACTTCATAGATCCCCCCCAAAAAACAAAATAGGCCCCAGGATGTGTAGCTCAGTAGTAGAATGTTTGCCTAGCATGTGTGAAGTCCTAGATTCAGTTCCAGTACCACACACAAAAAGACACAATCCAGGTGTGGTGGCACACACCTTTAATCCTAGCACTCAGAAGGCTCAGGCAGGATCCCTGAGAGTGAGGGCAAAATAGGTTATATATGAGTTCAAAGGCCAGCCTGAACTACCTGTCAAGACCCTGCGTTTAAAAAAAAAAAAAATTCTATTGGGACCATTAAAACTGCTTTGAAGCCAGAACTGATCTGAAGTAGCTCCCAAGTCCCAGCTACTTGGGAGACTGAAGCAGGAAGACTGCTTGAGCCTGGGTATTCTAGACCAGACTGGGTAACATGGTGAGAACTTGCCTGTCCTAAAAAGGTTAATCACCGTAGACAGTGTGTATTAATTCTGAGTTGATGTTCTGAAAACCTTGGTAATTTACCTAGCTGACTTTAAAGTCAAATGTAAATTATTATATATATA